CCACTGGCTTGATTTCTCACCACCAGCACAGCAGTCTGAAGTCGACTTGGGACTCTCAAGCTTGGTGGGGGGAAGGACATCTGCCATTACTGAGGCTTCAATAGGTGGTTTTCCCTTCACAGGGTAAACAAAGCCTCCGGTAAATTTGAACTGGGTGGAGCCCACTGAAGTTGAGCAAAGTCACTGTAACCAGACTGCCTCTCTAGATTCCTCCTCTCGGGGCAGGGCATCTCTGAAAGAAAGACAGCAGCCCCAGTAAGGCGCTTATAGATAAAACTCCCATCTCCTTGGGACAGAGCACCTGAGGGAAGGAGCAACTGTGGGTGCAGCTTGAGCAGACTTAAAAGTTCCTGCCTGACAGTTCCGGAGAGCAGTGGATCTCCCAGCACAGCGCTCAGGCTCTGCTAAGAAACAGACTACCTCCTCAAGTGGGTCCCTGATCCCTTTGCGTCCTGACTGGGAGACACTTCCCAGCAGGGGTTGATGGACACTTCATACAGGAGCGCCCCGGCTGGCATCTGGCGGGTGCCCTCTGGGATGAAGCTTCCAGAAGAAGGAAGAGGCAGCAATCTATGCTGTTCTGCAGCCTCTGCTGGTGATATCCAGGCAGATAAGAGTCTGGAGTGGACTTCCAGCAAACTACAGCAGACCTGCAGGAGAGAGGGCTGACTGTTAGAAGAAAACTAAAAAACAGAAAGGAATAGCATCAACATCAACAAAAAGGACGTCTAGACAGAAACCTCATCCAAAGCTCACCAACATCAAACAGCAAAGATAGATAAATGCACAAAGAGGAGAAAAAAACAGCACAAAAGGCTGAAAATTCCAAAAACCAGAATGCCTCTTCTCCTTCAAAGGATCACAACTCCTCCCCAGCAAGGGAACAAAACTAGATGGAGAATGAGTTTGACAAACTGAAAGAAGTAGGCTTTAGAGGGTGGGTAATAATAAACTCCTCTGAGCTAAAGAAGCATGTTCTAACCCAATGCAAGGAAGCTAAGAATCTTGAAAAAAAGTTTAGAGGAATTGCTAACTAGAATAACCAGTTTAGGGAAGAACATAAATGACCTGATGGAGCTAAAAAACACACCACGAGAACTTCGTGAAGCATACATAAGGATCAATAGTCAAATAGATCAAGCAAAAGAAAGGCTATCAGAGATTGAAGATCAATTTAAAGTGTGAAGACAAGATGAGAGAAAAAAGAATGAAAAGAAGTAAACAAAGACTCCAAGATATATGGGATTATGTGAAAAGACCAAACCTATGATTGATTGGTGTACCTGAAAGTGATGGGAAAAATGGCACCAAGTTGGAAAACACTTTTCAGGATATTATCCAGGAGAACTTTCCCAAACGAGCAAGAGAGGCCAACAATCAAATTCAGGAAATACAGAGAACACCACTAAGATACTCCTCGAGAAGAGCAACTCCAAGACACATAATCGTCAGGTTCACCAAGGTTGAAATGAAGGAAAAAATGTTAAGGGCAGCCAGAGAGAAAGGTCAGGTTACCCACGAAGGGAAACCTATCAGATTAACACTGGATCTCTCTGCAGAAACGCTACAAGCCAGAAGAGAGGCAGTACTCAACATTCTTAAAAGAATTTTCAACCCAGAATTTCATATCCGGCCAAACTAAGCTTCATAAGTGAAAAAGAAAAAATCCTTTACAGACATGCAAGTGCTGAGAGATTTTGTCACCACCAGGCGTGCCTTACAAGAGCTCCTGAAGGAAGCACTAAACATGGAAAGGATCAACCGGTACTACTCACTGCAAAAACATACGAAATTGTAAAGGCCATCGACACTATGAAGAAACTGCATCAACTAACGGGCAAAATAACCAGCCAGCATCATAAAGACAGAATCAATTTCACACATTAAAAATATGAACCTTAAATGTAAACTGGCTAAATGCCCCAATTAAAAGACACAGACTGGCAAATTGGATAGAGTCAAGACCCATCAGTATGCGTAATTCAGGAGACCCATCTCACGTGCAAGGACACACATAGGCTCAAAATAAAGGGATGAAGAAATATTTACAAAGCAAATGGAAAGCAAAGATAAGCAGGGGTTCCAATGCTAGTCTCTGATAAAACGGATTTTAAACCAACAAAGACCAAAAGACACAAAGAAGGGTATTACATAATGGTAAAGGGATCAATGCAACAAAAAGAGCTAGCTATCCTAAATAGATATGCACCCAATAAGGAGCACTCAGTTTCACAAAGCAAATTCACAGAGACCTACAAAGACTTAGACTCCCACAGAATAATACTGGTAGACTTTAACACCCCACTGTCAATATTAGAAAGATAAATGAGACAGAAAATTAACAAGAATATTCAGGGCTTGAACTCAGTTCTGGAACAAGCAGACCTAATAGACATCTGCAGAACTCTGCACCCCAAATCAACAGAAAATATATTCTTCTCAGAACCACATCACACTTATGCTAAAATTGACCACATAATTGGAAGTAAAAGCTCCTCAGCAAATGCAAAAGAATGAAAATCATAACAAACAGTCTCTCAGACCACGGTGCAATCAAATTGGAAGGTAGGATTAAGAAACTCGCTCAAAACCACACAACTACATGGAAACTGAACAACTTGCTCTTGAATGCCTACTGGGAAAATAACAAAAAGAAGGCAGAAATAAAGATGTTCTTTGAAACCAATGGGAAAAAAGACACAACTATACCAGAATCTCTAGGACACAGCCAAAACAGTATTTAGAGAGAAATTTATAGCACTAAATGCCCACAAGAGAAAGCAGGATAGATAGATCTAAACTCGACACCCTAACATCACAATTAAAAGAACTAGAGAAGATAAAACAAATTCAAAAGATAACTAAAGACAAGAAATAACTAAGATCAGAGCAGAACTGAAGGTGACAGAGAAACAAAAAACCCTTCAAACAATCAATGAATCCAGGAGCTGGTTTTTTGAAAAGATCAACAAAATAGACTGCTAGCCATACTAATAAAGAAGAAAAGAGAGAGAATCAAATAGACGCAATAAAAAATGATAAAGGGGATATCACCACTGATCCCACAGGAATACAAACTACCATCAGCGAATACTAAAAAGACCTCTATGCAAATAAACTAGAAAACCTAGAAGAAATGGATAAATTCCTGGACACATACACCCTCCCAAGTCTAAACCAGGAAGAAGTCGAATCCCTGAATAGACCAATAGCAAGGTCTGAAATTGAGGCAGTAATCAATGGCCTAGAAACCAAAAAAAGTCCAGGACCAGACAGATTCACAGCCAGATTCTACCAGAAGTACCAAGAAGAACTGGTACCATTCCTTCTGAAACTATTCCAAACAACAGAAAAAGAGGGACTCCTCCCTAACTCATTTTATGAGGCCAACATCATCCTGATACCAAAGCCTGGCAGAGACACAACAAAAAAAGACAATTTTAGGCCAATATCCCTGAGGAACATCGATGGGAAAATTCTCAATAAAATACTGGCAAACCGAATACAGCAGCACATCAAAAAGCTTATCCACCACGATCAAGTCGGCTTCATCCCGGGGTTGCAAGGCTGGTTCAATGTATGCAAATCAATAAACGTAATCCATCACATAAACAGAACCAATGACAAAAAACACATGATTATCTCATTAGATCCAGAAATGACCTTCCATAAAATTCAACACTCCTTCATGCTAAAAACTCTCAATAAACTAGGTATTGATGGAAATGGAACATATCTCAAAATAATAAGAGCTATTTATGATAATCCAACAGCCAATATCATACTGAATGGATGAAAGCTGGAGGCATCCCCTTTGGAAATCGGCACAAGACCAGAATGCCCTCTCTCACCACTCCTATTCAACGTAGTATTGGAAGCTCTGGTCAGGGCAATCAGCCAAGAGAAAGAAATAAAGCATTTTCAAATAGGAAGACAGGAAGTCAAATTGTCTCTGTCTGCAGATGACATGATTGTATATTTAGAAAACCCCAACATCTCAGCCCAAAATCTCCTTAAGCTGATAAGCAACTTCAGCAAAGTCTCAGGATACAAAATCTATGTGCAAAAATCACCAATAAACCAAAAATAGACAAACAGACAAATCATGAGTGAACTACCATTCACAATTGCTACAAAGAGAATAAAATACCTAGGAATACAACTTACAAGGGATGTGAAGGACCTCTTCAAGGAGAACAACAAACCACTGCTCTAGAAAATAAGAGAGGACACAAACAGATGGAAAAACATTCCATGCTCATGGAGAGAAAAAAATCAATATAGTGAAAATGGCCATACTGCTCAAAGTAATTTCTTGATTTAATGCTATCCCCATCAAGCTACCATCCACTTTCTTCACAGAATACCCGTCTCTACTAAACATACAAAAAATTAGCTGGGTGTGGTGGCACTTGCCTGTAGTCCCAGCTACTTGGGAGGCTAAGGCAGGAGAATCACTTGAACCCAGGAGGCCAAGGTTGTAGTGAGCTGAGATCGCGCCACTGCACTCCAGCCTGGAAGTCAGAGTGAGACTCTGTCTCAAAAAAAAAAAAAAAGCGTAGCCACTCTGGTTTTCCTCTTTTTTTTTTTTTTTTTTTTTTTTTTTTTTGCTAGCTTTCAGGCAACATTCTGGCTACCAAAAGAAAAGCAAATACTGAAGCATGTCCAGTCTCTTGCTCTTCTAATTCTTCTAATATGAACTGGGCTGCATTCACTAGTCTGACAGGTTCAGGTTGCAGATATTTATCAAATCTTTAGTCATATATAGCAAAGAAATCAGGGAGTTATAGTCACTCAGAGATTAAGAGTCAATTCTTACATAAGGACTTCTAATCCCAACACCGGGTATAACTTAACAAGTTTAGAGAACTTTACTACAGGAAACAGTGAGATGCAGTAAGAAACAGGAGTAAATTATTATATATAAGACATGGTGATGAGATTATATATTTGAAAAAAATTTCAAGTGTCAAATACCTTTTTAAAATCAGTCACAGATATAGATAATAAGAACCAAAAGAAATTTATTTACAAATTTCTTACTTGACCAGTGGTGTCATCCAAGCAACAGTATACCAGGAAAAATCAATTAACACCCCACTAATAGTCTTTAGAACAGTTCATACAAGGGAATGACCAGAGCAGTTCCTGACTGTTAGACTAGAAAGATGTCCTCCTGAGTATCCTTCAATTGTACATGAATTTACATTTTACCAAAGGGGTCTATGCAAGTAGCACCGTGGCACTTGTAGACTCAATTAAGTCAAAGCTTCTAGAGTGCTGTTCCCTGTATACCTTACATAGCTTTTTCACCACTTTTGTTGATTTCTTTGTCAGCTTCTTTCTCTTTTTCTCCTCCTTTGTCAGTTTTGTCTTCTCTGTTGATTCCTTCCTTTTTTTCTTCTCCACTATCAGCTCCTTTCTCTCCTCTATTCTTGGTGTTCTCTTCTTCTCCATTGTCAGCTCCTTTTTCTCCTCCATTGTTGACTCCTTTCTCTCCTTCTTTGTCCTGAACACTGATATAAACAGCTTTGTTATAGCCTTCCCGGTTCCGAGCAATTTCAATGGCAAAGAATTGTATCCTGGGGGCTGAAAAATGAACAGAATTGATTATCATCCTACTCTCAGTTTATTCCCTAAATCTCTTTTTTTTGAGACAGGGTCTCACTCTGATGACCAGGGCTGGACTGCAGTGGCACAATCACAGCTTACTGCAGCCTCAATTTCCCTGGTTCAAGCAATCCTCCTACCTCAGTCTCCTGAATAGCTGGAACTACAAACACTCACCACTACAACTACACCTGGCTAATTTTTTAAATGTTTTTGTAGAGATGGGATCTCCCTATGTTGCCCAGGCTGGTCTCAAAATCCTCAGCTCAAGTGATCCGCCCATGTCAGCCTCCCAAAGTGCTGGGATTACAAGGCATGAGACACTGTGCCTGGCCTGCTCCCTAAATATGCTGGAAATCTGACAAAATTGAAATAACATGCAAACCATTCGAGTATAGTCATAAACTTCAGAGACCTTTAATTCCACTCTCATATTAATGAGATTGAAAATACTTAACTATCTTCAAGTTACGTAAAAAATAGCAACAAGATCTTTAAAGATGAAACAAGATAAGGTGACCTAACTATACGTGTCACTGATTCATCAGTAAAACCAGACTGTTCAGTCTCCTTATAGAGAAACAATTCCAGAGGGAAGAAACTCACCAAAGATGGTGTTTTCCTCAGTATAGCCCTGAGAACAATCTAGTCGCAGCAAAGTACCATAGTTGAAGTCTTCAACAATCCCATTAAACTTCAAGCAGAATGGCCTCCACTTCTATAAAGGCAAATACAATGCTTTAGCTAACAAATGCAAGAGGTTGATGTACTAAGGCCAGGAGAGGGACTTCCATTTCCCCAGTAAGGAAAATAATCACTGTGAGACTAGGAATGAGGTGATTGTTGGTTTCACAGTGAAACTAGCAATGCGTTTTTGTGCTACCTACTGTGTCTTTAGACTGGTATTTCCCAAGATGAACAATATTTTACTTGAAAAATACATAAATCCTTTGCTGCAGAATTAAAATATGATTTCTTAAGTAAATTGTTTTGTTTTGAAGTTACTGGTCAGTTCAGCCCAAAATGGTCATCTATCCCCACTAAAACACAAATGATTTTAATAAAGAAGTCCATTCAGTAGTGACAATTTTCCAAAGACAAAGATCACTAACTGCCTGCTAGAAGTTAAAAGTGTAGATTCTTGGCTGGGTGCAGTGGCTCGCGCCTATAATCCCAGCACTTTGAAAGGCCGAGGCAGGCAGATCGCTTGAGCTCAGGAGTTTAAGACCAGCCTGGTCAACAAGGTGAAACCCCGCCTCTACCAAAAAATACAAAATATTAGCTGGGCATGGTAGCATATACCTGCAGTCCCACCTACTAGGGAAGCTGAAGCAGGAGGACTGCTTGAGCCTGAGAGGTGGAGGTTGTAGTGAGCTGAGATGGCCTGGGCAACAGAGTGAGACCCTATATCAAAAAAAAAAAAAAAAAAAAAACTTTAGATTCTTCATTAGCCAAGGGTTTACTCTCAAGGAAAAATTTTTTTTCCTAACTGTAAAAGTGTTAGTATCCTATCAAAGTATAGGATAATCACATAAGCAATGAAAAACAAAAGTTTTCCAGTTATCCATGGCCTGTAATCACATGAACTTAAATCCAGAGAATCAAACACCTTCCTATACCCTATTTGCCACTCCCCATCCAAGTCTTCTGGCTATACGACTTAAATAAACTGATCCATCCTCCTCTGAAAGGGCTGATGGGTGGAGATTTAAAATATCCAAGACAAAAAAGGAGAAAAAAATAGACTCAACAACATGAAAAGTCCATAAACTGGAAAAACATTCATTTCCTAACTTAGTTGATTAAAACTAGAAAAGTAGTTCTGGTTCTTCACATATTTTTCTTAAACAAAAAAAGAGCTTAAATGTAAAAAAACATATTCACAATCAAAAATTGTTGGTTAAATGCTAAGTAATATTTAAGAAAGAGAATTTTTACCTCTTTGGCTGATTCTGACTTGAGTTCTTCTGGGTCCAATACATCTATCCTAAGGGTCTCAAAATTTTTCCGGAACTCAGAGTAAATTTGGTCATCTACTTTGGTGAGTTTCAGGAACTGTGGGTCAACTGATGAAATCAGCTGCCAAACAGTAAGACAACATACAGATGCTAGTTTGTAATTTACTATACTTCTATCTTCCCCATTCCCGCCAGAAAACCTTTATGGTTCTCAGGGCAGAAGATCTCTTCAAGAAGTGTCGACAGCCTACATCCTGGATGAAATCATGACAGTTTAAGGCCATAACATATTATTACAATCCCTTCCACCAATTTGGCAGTTGGCTTATTTAACCATAGTACTGCCTGGCTATTGCCCTCCATGGATTGCTCGTTCATTCAACAAACATTTATTAAGTGCCTACTATGTATGGGCCAGACGCCCTCTTGTCAGTTAGCATTACAACACTGGGTAAAGCAGCAGAACTCATTGTAGAAACAAATTTGCCTTCACTCCTCTGTTGTCTGTGGGTAAGAACTTACATTAATAAAAACTATCTCCAAAACACAACTGTTTAACTTGCTGAGAATAGTGATAAGCAGAGCATCATATGCTATAATTACATGTTTAATTCTGCTTAATGATGAAGACAGACAACTCACCTTGTAATAGACTTCAGCATGTTGCATTGCTCTCATGGCCCAAGCCATCTCAATATCAGGCTGCAAAGGAGTGAAGAATGCCAGGTCATAAATCTCCCCATCCTACTACTGAATAACAAATTAAGGAAGTATGTGGATGTCTAGTTAATGCTCAAGAGGGCTACCAAACTTGATGTTACTGTCAAATGATAAAAACTGGAGTAATAAATTTGGACAATAATTCTTTTGTCCGTATGACAACCAAAAGAAGCTACCTACACAGTGTAATGAACACAGTGAGCCACTGCCTATCTCTTCCCAGCTGCTAGTGAAAGCTGGGAGACTAAATAAAGCAGTAGACAAATCACCTTCTCGGGATTGAGTTAAATCATTGTAAAACTGAAATAATACACCCATCAATTCCACTGAGTTGTTGGGTGAACAAAGAATCAAGATGAAAATTACTTTTCATTTTTAAGATTGAAGCATGTCGTAATCATTTTTGTTTGCCAGCCAATTCCCCATACTGTAACACCTAGAAATGAATTAGCACATGAAACAGATCAAGGTTACAGTAAGTCTTACCAAGCACCCACCTGTTCCACTGGAATCTCCCATTCCAACGAGACCGAGCTATTTCACTGACTCCAGAAAAAGCCATTTGCATTTGTTATCTCCATGCCTTAGACCATGCACTTTTCCTACCTGCCAGTCCATGTCCTTTGTCCACCTACACTTGGAGGATACAGTTAAAGCTCCATTTCCTCAGTCAAGTCTTCTACTTCCTTGACCCCTTAGGGATTTCTCCTTCAGCTAAATTATTTGGATCTTATGGCCTGACCCACTCATTATATGTATCACATTCTTATTTGGGTGTTTTCACTATTCTCACATCCCCTTGTCTTGTTTTGGAAAATACGTCATATACTTTCTCAGTAATTTTCTAAACCAGACACACATAAGCCAGTCCAACTTTGCTGCACAATGGAATCCCTCAGAGACCCTTTAAAAATACTGATTCTTGGCTCTCATTCCCCAGACATTCTGATTTAGATGGTATGAACAGCAATCTAGGCAGCGGGACGTTTAAAAGCTCCCCAGTAATTCTAAAGCGTGGCCAACTTGGGGAACCACTTTCACAGGCGTTAGTCCTGCGTTTGCGTACTAAGATTAAAACGAATTGAACGCAGGTGCGGTTTCTGGTGTAAGCGGAGAGGGTCTGCGGTAGATTATCAGGACATGAAGTTGTAACTTAGCGGCAGGTCCTGCAGAGATCCCAGGCTAGCTGAGTGGGTGGGAGCTGTGGGTGAGTCATACTCACATCGTTGCCATACGACTCTGCTGGGAGAGAAAGCGCATGTGCCACAGACACCAACTCCCCGGAAACCTAGAAAGGGGGAAAAAGAGTTCAAGGCTCCACCCAAGGCCGGGCACGGTGGCTCGTGTCTGTAATCCCAGCACTTTGGGAGGCTGGAGGCGGGCGGATCGCCTGAGCCCAGGAGTTTACGACCAGCCTGGGTGACATGGCGAAACCCCGTCTCTACAAAAAATACAAAAAAAAATTAGCTGGGCGTGGTGGCACGGGCCCGTAGTCCCAGCTCCTCGGGAGGCTGAGGTGGGCGGAAGACCTGAATCCCGGAGGTCGAGGCTGCAGTGAGCCGTGATCCCACCACTGCGCTCCAGCCTGGGCGACTGAGTGACACCCTGTCTCAAAAAAGAAAAAAAAAAGGCTCCACCTGGCTCGACCTCCCCACTCACCCGACCCCAGAGCAGCGTCTCACCTGTTCATCAGTTCCACTGGTGGCCGCCATGTTGCAAACCAGAAAGCGTGGCTCCTTCCGCAGCTGATTGGAAAGCTGAGCCGGATCAGAGTCTTTCTCAACTGGCGGCTCCACTGTGCACTCTCCCTCCCCGCGAGGAAGTTGCTGGCCCCGCCTTACCCTCCCCGCGCAGGCGCAGAGGTGGAGTACTGGTGCGTAGGCTGGACTGCTTGAGAGATCTGAGGTGATTGACTGATCAGTAATTTCGGTGGTGATCACGGGAAAAGGTTGAGTTAAAATAGTGCCCCTTTCGTGTCTTCACTGTGCCGTGTGCCCAGCCAAAATTCAAATTCACTCTCCATTCAAGTGCGCATATACGCACATGCGCATACACATACACCCCAGTACCCACAACCAGGGAGTGATTCACGAAAAGGGATGGTGCTAGGGGGCGGAGTGCAGGGATGAAGAATTTAGTACCTGCCTTGGAAGAACTAGATATAGTGAGGGACCGGACACAGTAGTGCTCACAGCATAGCATCGGATGTTGTGGGAGCATGAATGGGGGATACCTAAGCCAAATTATGAAGGGAGCTTAGCCAAGCAGACGGGGAAAGACAGTCCAGGCAGAGGGAAGAGCACAAACAAAGCCATTAATGGCACCTTGCTGGGAATTACAAAAACAGTATAGCTGAATCCAGAGTGGAGTCATCGAGGGAGCACAGGGCCTTTGGTATGCTGAATGTTAGGGAGTAGAGAGTTTACCCTTAGAGCAACACTAAGCTACTGAAGATTTTTAAGTAGGCCAGCTTCATGGTCAGACTTAACTTTTCTGATCTCTGTAACACAACATGGAAGATTAATTTGAGGAAGACGAAATTGGAGACAGAGACACCAGCTTGAAGGCAGTGGGTGATGAAAATCTAAACTAAAGCAGTGACAGTTGAGATGAATTTTGAGAATTAATGGGGCTTATAATCAATAGAACTTTTTGACTAATTTCATGTAGAGCATAAAGGAGAATTAGGATTCTACTATGACTCCCAGATTTCAGAATAGGATTTGGGGATAAATATCGTTGAGCAAGGGAACACAGAGGAGAGATGATGAGTTTAATTTGAGAAGTTAAGTTTAGAAGAGCCTATGGGGCATTCAGATAGAATTGACCAGGCAGAGGGAGATCTGATCGGAGATAAATTTGATAGTTGGTACTTCAGGTTTAGTTGAGCTTTCATAAGAAATCTATAAAGAACTGTAAAGACACAAAAAGCAGCAGGTCAAGCATTTATGAAGGAAAAAAGGCAGCAAAAAAAAAAAAAAGACTTAAAAAAAAGTTGTCAGTTGTCTGTCAAAGAACAAGGCGAAGCCTCACAGAAACCAAAGGATGTAAGAGCTTCTAGAAATAAGTGGTGAGCAGAACCCAGTACTCTCAGTTGAGTATACTAAGCATAAACATATAGGGAGGTTGACAACCTTAGCAAGAGCAGGTTTAGTAGAATGGTCATTGACAACCTGAACAAGGGCAGAAGTCAGATGGTAGTGGGTTGAAGAGGGAGTGGGAGATAAAAAAGAGATGTTAGTGATCATGGAAAGTTCTTCCAAAACAGGTGCAGCTAGAAAGAAACATGAGGTCTAGGGACTTTTTTTAAAAATCGGGGTAAAGACCAGATAATATAAAAATTTACCATTTTAATCATTTTTAAGTGTACACTTAGGTAGTGTTAAGTATATTTACATTGTTGTGTGACAGATCTCCAGAACTTTTTCATTTTGCAAAATTGAAACTCCGTATGCATTAAAGAACGATTCTCCACTTTCCTCTCCTTTTGGCCCCGGGTAGCCACCATTCTATTTTCTATGAATTTAATTACGTTAGACACTGCATATAACTGGAGTCATACCGTATTTTTCTTTTGGGGACTGAATAATGTCCTCAAGTTTCATCCACTTTGTAGCATATGACAGGATTTCCTACATTTTTAAAGCTGAATAATATTCCATTAAGGCCGGGTGCGGTGACTCATGCCTGTAATCCTAACACTTTGGGAGGCTGAGGCAGGCGGCTCACTTGAGATCAGGAGTTCGAAACCAGCCTGGCTAACACAGTGAAAGCCCATCTGTACTAAAAACACACAAAAAAATTAGCCAGACATGGTGGCGGGTGCCTGTAATCCCAGCTACTTGGGAGGCTGAGACAGGATAATTGCTTGAACCTGGGAGGCAGAGGTTGTAGTGAGCCGAGATCGCACCACTGCACTCCAGCCTGGGTGACAGAGTGAGACTGTCTCACAAAAAAAAAAAAAAAAAAAAAAAAAAAAAAAGATTGTATGTAAATACCACATCTTGTTTATCCATTTATTCATTGATAAACACTTGGGTTACTTTCACCTTTTGGCTATTGTGCATAATGCTGCTATGAACGTGAGTGCACAAATATCACTGTGAGACCTTGCTTTCGGTTTTGTTTTTTGTTTTTTGTTTTTTTTTGTTTTTTTTTTTTTTGGATATTTACCCAGAATTAGGATCACTGGATCATATAATTAATCATATGGTTAATGGGTCTTATTTTTAATGTTTCAGGGAACCCAGGCACTTTAAAAATTATTTTCAGTTTAGAGAAACTTAAGAGTACTGAGTAACTGGCCTTATGCAAAATACTTTCCTGGAGGATAAGCTAGGTCTATCTCCAAAGAAACTTCATGAATGAAGAGAGATAGCAAAAGTAGGAAATAGTGCTGCAATAAAAATACATGCATATGTGTCTTTACAATAGAATGATTTATAATCCTTTGCGTATATACCCAGTAATGGGATTGCTGGGTCAAATGGTATTTCTAGTTCTAGATCCTTGACAAATCACCACGCTGTCTTCCAGAATGATTGAACTAATTTACACTCCAACTAACAGTGGAAAAGCGTTCCTATTTCTCCACATCCTCTCCAGCATCTGTTGTTTCCTGACATTTTAATGATCACCATTCTAACTGACATGAGATGGTATCTCATCGTGGTTTTGATTTGCATTTCTTTAATGACCAGTGATGATCAACTTTTTTTCATATGTTTGTTGGCTGCATAAATGTCTTCTTTTGAGAAGTGTCTGTTCATATCCTTTGCCCACTTTTTGACGAAGTTGGTTTTTTTGTTTGTTTGTTTGTTTGTTTGTAAATTTGTTTAAGTTCTTTGTAGATTCTGGATATGAGCCTTTTGTCAGATGGGTAGATCACAAAAAATTTTCTCCATTCTGTATGTTGCCTGTCCACTCTGATGATAGTTTCTTTTGCTGTGCAGAAGCTCTTTAATTTAATTAGATCTCATTTGTTAATTTTGGCTTTTGTTACCATTGTTTTTGGTGTTTTAGTCATGAAGTCTTTGCCCATACCTATGTCCTAAATGGTATTGCCTAGGTTTTCTTCTAGGGTTTTTATGGTTTTAGGTCTTACGTTTAAGTCTTTAAATCATTTGAGTTAATTTTTGTATAATGTGTAAGGAAGGGATCCAGTTTCGGCTTTCTGCATATGGCTAGCCAGTTTTCCCAACACCATTTATTAAATAGGGAATCCTTTCCCCATTGCTTGTTTTGTCAAAGATCTGATGGTTGTATATGTGTGGAGTTATTTCTGAGGCCTCTGTTATGTTCCAGTGGTCTATATATCTGTTTTGGTAGCAGTACCATGCTGTTTTGGTTAATGCAGCCTTATAGTATAGTATGAAGTTAGGTAGTGTGATGCCTCCAGCTTTGTTGTTTTTTCTTAGGATTGTCTTGGCTATACGGGTTCTTTTTTGGTTCCATATGAAATTGAAAGTAGTTTTTTTCCAATTCTGTGAGGACAGTCTATGGTAGCTTGATGGGCATAGCATTGAATCTATGAATTACTTTGGGCAGTATGGCCATTTTGATGATATTGATTCTTCCTAGCCATGAGCATGGAATATTTTTACATTTGTTTGTGTCCTGTCTGATTACCTTGAGCAGTGGTTTTTAGTTATCCTTATAGAGGTGCTTCACATCCATTGTAAGTTGTTTTCCCAGGTATTTTATTCTCATTGTAGCAATTGTGAATTGGAGTTTACTCATGATTTGGCTCTCCGTTGATCTGTTATATTGGTGTATAGGAATGCTTGTGATTTTTGTACATGGATTTTGTATCCTGACACTTTGCTGAAGTTGTTTATCAGCTTAAGGAGATTTTGGACTGAGATGGTGGGGTTTTCTAAATATACATTCATGTCCTCTGCAAACAGGGACAATTTGACTTCCTCTTTTCCTAATTGAATACACTTTATTTCTTTCTCTTGCCTGATTGCCCTGGCCAGAACTTCCAATACTATGTTAAATAGAAGTGGTGAGAGAGGGCATCCTTATCTTGTGCCGGTTTTCAACAGGAATGCTTCCAGTTTTTGCCCATTCAGTATGACATTGGCTGTGGGTTTGTCATAAATAGCTCTTATTATTTTGAGATATCTTCCATTAATACCTAGTTTATTGAGAGTTTTTAGCATGAAGGGCTGTTGAATTTTATGGAAGGTCTTTTCTGCATCTATTGAGATAATCATGTGGTTTTTGTCTTTGGTTCTGTTTATGTGATGGATTACGTTTATTGATTTGTTTATGTTGAACCAGCCTTGCAACCCTGGGATGAAGCTGACTTGACTGTGTTGGATAAGCTTTTTCATGTGCTGCTGGATTTGGTTTCCCAGTACTTTATTGAGGATTTTTGCATCGATGTTCATCAGGGATATTGGCCTGAAATTTTCTTTTTTTGTTGTGTCTCTGCCAGGTTTTGGTATTGGGATGATGCTGGCCTCATAAAATGAGTTAGGGAGGAGTCCCTCCTTTTCTATTGTTTGGAATAGTTTCAGAAGGAATGGTACCAGCTCTTCTTTGTACCTCTGGTAGAATCTGGCTGTGAATGTGTCTGGTCCTGGACATTTTATGGTTGGTAGGTTATTAATTGCCACCTCAATTTCAGACCTTGTTATTGGTCTTTTAAGGGTTTCGACTTCTTCCTGGTTTAGTCATGGGAGGGTGTATGCTTTGAGGAACGTACCCATTTCTTCTGGATTTTCTAGTTTATTTGCATAGCAGTGTTTATAATATTCTCTGATAGTAGTTTGTATTTCTGTGGGATCAGCAGTGATATCCCCTTTATCAGTTTTTATTGCATCTATTTGATTCTTCTCTTTTTTTTTTTTCCTGTATTAGTCTGGCTAGTGGTCTATATTTTTTATCTTTTCAAAAATCCAGCTCCTGGATTCATTGATTTTTTTTGAAGGGTTTTTCGTGTCTCTATCTCCTTCAGTTCTCTGATCTTAGT